AAAGAGGAGCATATTCAGGCTTTGAGCCTTCATAACACACACACACACAGAGAGAGAGAGAGAGAGAGAGAGAGAGAAGAGGAAAGAGAAAAGAGAATCTAAGACTGATGTAACTGCTTGGAATTCCAGAAGTGAGAGATGGATTGCAAAAGAATTCTACCTCGCTTTGCTCTGAGAGTATAGATTTAACATTAAACTGTGATCATGCCTAATTTTGCAAATTTGCAACTGAGAGAATTCCATAATTCTTCGGAGAAACTTTGAATTTGCTCACTTACCTGAAGGAAAGTAATTCTGATTTTATTTTTTTCCTTTCGTTAGTCATTGAGCACTGGAAAGCAAAACAAAACATGACCATAACCTAAGCTGCTCTCTCTCAACCTCCTTCCCCAGAGTTTTAATTTCTGTTTTTCAGAAAATATCTCGTCCTCTTATCTGTCACATTTCCAAGTCTGTCCATCAACCTGCTCTCTCTATGTATTCATCTCTTAGAAGCCCAAGAAGGGAGCCTTTCCCCTCCTTCTGCATCTTCACTGTAATCTAAAGCCTTACAACCAGCCAGAATTGCTGTTGTCATAACTCAGCAATAACCTTCAACTCATTACTGGCACTTTGTCCACTGTCTGTCTGTAAATGATAATATCCTATTTGTTGAGCATGTGAAAGACAAAATGGATATTCTTGCAAAGGGATAAATCAAGTCAAATCACAACTCCTCTTTTGTTTGTTAACTCAATACAATTCTTTATTTTCTTCTTATAAGGTTTAAATAAGCTTACCATCAGTTTATTTCACTTAGAAAAATTCTTAGCCCTTTCATAAATCTATTTTTCTTTTGTAACATCTTTACCCTTGTTATTGTTTTAGGAATAAGAATGCCACTGCCACCGAGTCCTTGACAATCCATGGGGAGACATAAGGCAGAGTAGACTTTCTTCCAGGGTTTGTGCTGCTGCACATATTTAAGGGAGAACAAACCTTCATCTTTCTCCTGCAGAGTGGCTGGTGGTTTTGAACTGCTGATCCTGCAGTTAATAGCCCAGCATATCACCCACTGCATCAGGGCTTCTTGTTTAATACCAGAAAAAAATTACATTAAAAATTCTGCTGTCGATTTGATGCCAGCTCACAAGCAACCCTATAGCGCTGGGTGGAACTGCCCCTGTGACTTTCCAAGGCTGTAATTTTTTTTTTTTAACCACATATTTGCTTCTATTTTTTCCCCCAAAAAACATTTTATTGGAAACTAATACAGATATCATATCGTTCCACAGTTCAATCACATCAAGCAGTATTAAACAATTACTACCATATTCAGTTTCAAAACATTTTTTTTCTTCTTGAACTTCTTGACATCAGCTCCTTTTACCCCACCCTCACAGAGCCCCCTGCAACTATAACTCTTTATGGGAGTAGAAAGGCTGATTTTTCTCCTTCGCAGGGCTGCTGGTTTTGAACTGCTGCTCTTGCAGTTAGCAGTACCAACAAGTAACCACAACACCACCAAGGCTCCTTGTTTAACTCAATAAGAAGTTAAATTTTAACAATTTGTGCTTTCATGTTTATCTCTTAACTCTTGACGTAACTTCATTTGCTTATATAGTCTCAGAAGTCTTCTGGTAATTTTATATCCCTGTGGATAGCAGTCAGCATCTGATTCACACTGGCTCTTTCTAACTTTCTAAGTAATTCTCAAATTCCCTTTTCAATTTTGACCAGATCTCTTTGGAAATGTTGACAGAAGTTTTGGCTTAGACACAGCAGTCATTCAACAATAACTCAAAATTCAACCAATATTTGTTGTCCGCTGTGCCAGCCTTTATGATGGATGTTAAGAGCAGGATAAATAACAAAGAAGATGGTATCTTTGCAGTGAGGGAATTTACAACATCCAAGTGAAAACAACTTGAATTGTTACCTTTACAAATCTTAAACATTACATATCTATTTTCATGGTCACAAATAAAATGTAAAATATCTGTTGTTTAAATATTTCAGAAGGTGAAATTATATGTAGTGAAAGTATCTTCTCTAAAGAAATGTATTTTATAAGATTTTTCTTCATACAGGGCAATATCATGAGGCCTTCCCACATATTATTTTTTCCCATGAGGACTTCCTTCAAGTGCTCAAATCAAAAGGGATCTAATGATCTGAAATAATCTCTTGAACTGTCCTCAATTCTAGAATAACACTTTAAACTCAGGGATTCTAGGTTGAACAGGTTGACCCCTTCAAGTTAAGTTTATGTAAAAAACAGAAGTGTGGCCTTGAAAAAGTTTAATTTAGAGCCTAGCTAATATCGTACAGTTTTTTTAAAGTATTAATATAATAAGGTCTTCATGTACTTTGATACAGTGCTTACTCTGACTGTCCCACGTCATCTAACTCCAGGCATGCTTTTAATGTAGCTGTCATGTCTTTTTGATACCATTCTTAAAGACTCAAATTTATCCTCTCTAGGACTAAGTACCCCAGTGTCTACAGTGTAATCAATGTGTGCCTTACAGATGGCTCTGTAAAGGCCTGATTTATGGTGTTCAAGGCATTCAGTGAAGGTTCTTCACTTAGTTGACTTAAGTTACAACTTTAATATTGTCTTTTGAGTGCACTTTTTTGTTTTGTTTTTTATGAAAAGAAAAAATGCAAGGAAAATATGTCATTGAGATTGATTGTAATGGCCAGCTATTATGATCTCAATGGAAGTATTAGAGCCCCTGCCTAAGGTGCATTGAAGAGTGCCAAGCCTCATAGCAACTCAGCTTATCCTAAAAAGCGCCATGGCCTGGAGTGAAAGCTGCAATTTCAAGATCTCCCAGAGACCCATTATTTGCAAATCATTGACACAACAAACTGTAACAACCCTGGTCCTCCTTGTCAATGCATGCTTAGGGAGCTTTTCATCCACAGAACGTTGCATGCTCAATAACTTTTTATACTAAAAACCCTTATGAAATTTCTGAAGAAAATGAGCAATTGTGCTGATCCAGAATCCCCTTTAAAATATATTTTTAATTACAATTGATTTGACTGATCGGTGAGATCCTATATGGAAGAGAATCCTCACAACTGAAACTTGATTTGTATGCTATCATATTGCTTAATATAGAACCAACTGGCTATTGAATTTTCTAGCAAGAACACGTTTCTGAAACATCTCTTTTGGCACCCCTACCCCTGTCTTCCTGCTAAGATCTTAAAAATAAACTAATGGTTTTCCCACTAAGCTTGAGTAGAGGGAACTATCACTCTAGAGTGTCAACCTTTCGGCCAAGTTTAACCACAAAGAGAATTTTTACAGCTGAGACATTAACTTTTAAAACAAAGGATTTATAGTGTAAGCATCGAAACAGGTTTAACTGCTAGTGACCACTGCTGAAATATGATTCCTTAAAAGAGGAGCATATTCAGGCTTTGAGCCTTCATATTTCAATACATGATACTTGTTATTTACAGAAACGTTCCTTTAAGCACTTATAAGAGCTGATGTTACTTATAAGTGATCAGTGAGACCATGAACTCTGAGTGTTGTACCTCTGGGGCGTCTCTCCAATATTTTGGGGAAAAAAGAAATATAGTCCTTTGTTTGGCAAAGGATTAGAAGTCATTCATGATAGAGAATAGAAATTTATGGCCATGGAGGAGGAAATGAGTAGCTTAAGGCCAGTAGTAGTTTGTTAAATTGTTAGGGATGGCAGGAAATAGAATAAAGAAAGCCTAAAACAGACAACCAAGTGAACAAAGAGAAAAACAGGCTTCAAAAAAAAAAAAAAAAAAAAAGCCCCAGGATATTACAAGAAGGAAGTATTGATTTGGGTTCTGTATGTATTTCTTCTTTTTTCATTTTTCCCTTTCTCTTTGTCCATTTTAATACTAACACTACACCAGAGTGTAGCATATAAGGGTTATACACCAGAGTGTAGCGTATAAGGGTTATGCACCAGAGTGTAGCGTATAAGGGTTATACATGAGTGTAGTGTATAAGGGTTATACACAAGAGTGTATAAGGGTTCCAATTTCACCAAATGCTCAACTGCCTTTGTGGCTTTCTGTTTCTATGAATTTTGCTTTGATTGTAGGGTATTGTGATATCACACTCTTTTGATTAGCATCCCTCAAATAGTTAAGCATTCCAAGCATTTCTTTGTTTGTTGACTGCCAGAACACCTTTCATGAAGCATTTTTTTTCATATCCGCTGCCCTTTTTTTGTTTAGTTTTACAGCACTGCCTGGGTTTATTTGTACATATGGCACACGAAGACACCAGTGCCATGCAGGCAGTAGCCCAAAGCTCACACCAGTCCCCCTCGCCCTCACATGGAGACCTCTACTTTGTGGGCACCTTTGGGGGTGTGAGCTGGGGTGGGGCACTTTGGGGAGCATTTGCAGGAGTCGAGGTCTTGGCTGGAGCATCAACCTTGCTCTGTGCCTTGGCCTTGGGCTGGCAGAGCCTCAGACCCTTGGGTTGGGCGATGTAGGCCAGTCCGCTGAGCTTGCGGTTGATGTTCATTGGGACCTTGGCCTTGACCTCCATGGGCTTCACATGACCCTTGGTGGACTCCACGTGAACAGCTGCTGCCTTGGTGTTGTTGACCTGCATTTTCTTCAGGCCCTTCTTGTTGTGCTTCTTGGAGAAGCCCATGTTCTCCAGGAACTTGGGGTCCACCCCCTTAAGAGATTCATGTCATTGTGATCGGGGGTTTTTTCATGCTGTTTCGGTGCCATTTCCGGCATTGGCTGTACTTGGTGTGGTTCTTGGACCTGACTAGGTCTGCACCGATGCTTGCTGCTACCGGAGTGGTGTGACCAGAAGAAAGAGAGGCCACTGCCCATTTTTAATTGAATCCTTTTTACATCTCTTGTTGAGGTGCTGGATTTTTCTGTAAATGCTAGAGATTATTTCCTAGTCTAATATCAAAAACTTTTCCCAGTGTGTGTGAATTATTTTTACTATTTTGGTAACATATTTTGATGTGCATAAGTATCTAATGTTTAGGACATTCCACTCATCTAGTGTGTTATCTACTACGTTTTGTATTGTGTTTGATAGCATTTGTATGCCATGCATTGGGTCTTGTAGGTTTTTCCCAACTGACATTTAGGCCTTTGATCCATCTGAAGTTCATTTTTATTTGTAGTGGGACAGGGGTCCTGTATCATTTTCCTTCAAATGGATATCCAGATTTACCTGCATTATTTCTCTCTTTTTT